CAGTGACTTCAAGAATTGTGCCAATCCATCATCCAGTCATGGTTTGATGAACACTAGGAAGTTCAACACTTTTCTTGGTCTCCATAATCACCTGATCTCAACATCTTTAAACCACCATGGAAATCTTGGAGGCAAGGTGCAGCAGATTTTCTCCTCCATAGACACTTTTAGAACTTGAGTCCATTCTTCATGAAGAATATGGATAGTGTCCAGAGAAATGTCCCCCCAATCATTGTCTATTCAATGTTGGATAAATGTACTACAACCAAAAGATAGTCCAACTTTATTAATAAACAATCTGCTTGATGTTACTGGTGTTCACATTTTATTTTGATTTTTCTATTAATGCCAACCATGAGCACATCATTAAATACTTTCCTGGTTTTGAAACTGTTTTGTTTTGAATTTTTTCTTTTTTTAAATGTAGTCATGATGAGAAATTGTTCAACAGAATCTAAATATTTATTTTCCAAATTGATGCAAGCTGTGGACAACTTGGTAGATCTTCTTCCTTAGATACCGAATTGATGTTTTTCTTTTTGAATCAGTCCAATGTCTTCATCCCACATGATATTTGATGGTACTTGAATATGAATTTGCAAAATTTTAAAACAAAAATTTTTTTTTTTACACTGAATTCATTCAATGAGATCTTTAATTCCACTAAACAAAAAAATATGCAGTTATCATTTTATGATCTTGAATAGATAAATATAAATTCAGTCATTAAAAAAAACAATGCCATCTATAAAATATTATTTGAAAGAGAGCCTCCTTAAACTGTTTGGAATTTTTGTAGACCTTTTAATGTAACAAGAATTATTATTCTGTGCTACATGTAAAGTTGGTTATAGAAAGAATACACAAACCTGCCAATTCAGACTCCTTTATTTTTAAATTTCTGACTGATTGCAACTCCTCAATCTTTAAATCTCAAACTCCATTAATGCTCTATATCAGTGTTCCGCAACCGGTGTGCCGTCACATAGTGAAAGGTGTGACGTGAACTTTTACATATTCTGTTAATTTCAAATTTTATTTATATATTTTTATCGCAGTTGTTGTGTTTCTTATGCTTGTATTTCATTCTCTGCCGCAGCACTGATGAAATAAGATGATGATTGTTTATTCTTTATTACAAGACACGCATTTTTATGTATTCTAAGAAATTATATGTAAAGAAAATTTGCTCACAGGTGTTGATGTCTGTTTAATAACAATAATAATAGGTTAGTGGCATTACGTAATTCTATTAATAGTATCATATCACACGTTTTTGAGGGGAATAACATTTTGGTGTGCCATGTTGAGTCATGGGTGTGCCGCAAGTAGAAAAAGGTTGCGGAACACTGCTCTATATGTATTTTACATTTGTATGGTAAAATGTTTAAATCTACATTTCAGAATTAATCTGTATTATTTTATGACGGCAATCTGCAAGAACAATAGCATTATTTATGTAGTTAAGCAGACCATATTTACAGTTCAACCAGGGATGTTTCAGTATCAGTGAAAAGGTGGCCTAAAATAATCAAAGTTCATTTATTTATTGATCTATGAATTGGCAATTTTATATTGACATGTTAATAAAATTTCTCTATCCAAAGATTGATTCTACAATCAAATATTAAAAACAGGCAAAACTGGGGACAGTTTCATGAAATTGAGGACATTAGCTAGCCACCGTAATGTAGTATATAAGTAAGTGTTTATTTATGTATATACTAGCAGGCATAGGGCACAATCATGCTGCTAACTTATATACATGATTAAGGAATTTCAATCCACACTGAAACATTTTAGTTACTGTATAACTAACTGTAATGAAAATATAATCAATTCAAAGGATCTTTATGAATCAATATTCAGCTTTCTTATATGAACTGAGGAGTAATACACAGCAATGGGGGTACTGAACTTTTATTTTTAAAATTTTATTAATTATATACAAAGCAGTGACAAACAGCATGGTTCATTATGCAACTCTTTGAAAACAAAAATTAATCCTTGTTACTCAAGGGTTGAGATCTTAACATTACATAACATTTTTGTAAATACTCTTACGCCTTGTAACATATCATAACAATTATCTGCATATCCACAAACTTGTATCTGCTACATAATTTATGGATAACAACCCTTATGTTCATAAAACGAAGAATTTTAAACTGTGTTGATTGGCTATGTGCAAGATGGATACTTAGGATAAAAAATTTATGTAGTTAACAATTTTTAATTAAAAAGTACTGTAAAAATTTAAAGTAAATTTTAAAAAGCAAAATAGAACTTTTCATAATGATATTGAATTGCTGCCATTTATTATTGTCCAGAAGAGGAATTATTTTCATCTCAAACAACTAAAATACTCTCAATTAATTTCATGTTTAAGTATATTTTGATAGTAGTTGTATATCTATGCAAATGATGACAAATTTTTTAATAAAAATGTGCTATAGGTACTTGACATCAATTAAATCTTTAAGGCAAGAGAGAAAATTACAGAACTTCTGGTTTGCTGGAATGTGGGGAGACTTTTTATGATTGGCAGAATATAGATCATGTACCATAGATGAAATTTTGATTCTGAGTGGCTGTATGACATTTTTCAATGCTTATTCCTTATATAAATTGCTAATAGTTGGAATTAGTTTGAATTAAAACCTAAGTGGAGCATTTGATATGTAGCACAAATCTAATAGTTTTCAATTCTTGCAAACTATTAGATTTGTGCTACATATTTGAATACTTCTTGGATCTGATCCTTATGAGCTCTCTCAACAGTAAACAAGCCAATTAGACTACCAACAATTAGAATTTCTGATGACAGAACAAGATACTAATTGCATTACAGTAATACAGAAATCAAGTTATACTGTGATTGACTTTTCAGGAATTTTAATACAATAATTAATTGTTAGTAATCTCATAGATTGATGTTAACAGTGTTAATCAACTTGTTCTAGAGAAACACTGTAACTCATTCAAATCTTGACAGTTCTCTATTCCTGAATCTTCAATTCTGTTCCTGGTTAATTCCAACAAAGTTCTATGTTCACATGTTCTTTTGTAATGTGACTTTTATTTCTCTGGAAAGCTTTAAAATCATTCTTGGAATACAGTTTTTGATGGTCTTCATTGACAATTATACCTGGATGTGATGTTTCTTATTTATCTAAAAGTGCAATCTTAATTTTTCTCTTTAATCAAAACAATAACCTAAGAATAAAGAAAATAACATTTTCACATTACAACTTTCTGGCTTATAGTAAAATTTAACATAGAAAACTGCTACTCCTGAATTTTTCCTGTTATGCAGGCTTTTGTTTTAAATAGGTACTATTATTGTATTAAAAATTTATTTTTACAGCTTTCAAGGAGATTATGGTATATAGTGAATTATTGTCATAGAAAATCCTTAAGCTGTAAAATCATTGAATTTGCAATTTGCTGTTTAACAATTTTTTTAAAATATAAATCCAAAAGCTGTAAACATTTAATTTGGGATAAATCTTTGCACTGTTACTTTGCGTTAACTTTTATCTCAAAGTTTTTCTGTTTAGTAATAGTAAAACAATGCAGCACATAGATGATCTTGCTGCTACTATTTTATTCTAGATATGTGAAATATCTAAAAACTCCATTGTTCCAGCTTGTTGGTCAGGTGTGAATCTACAACCAACTGCCAATGTTAACTGGTATTTTCCAATAGGACACTGATAATCTTAAAAAGGAAAAAAAATAGTGATTCAGTTATATGAGGGAGATATCAAAAAATAAACATTTGCAGATTGATTTTAGATGTTAAATTGTATATAATGGCTTTTTGATGTTATGAACTACATCCACAAATCAAAATCTTTGCTGTAATTAAGCAAGAGACAAAAGTAATCAGTGATGGATATAAGAAAAAGTATCTAACTAATCTATTTTTTGTTGATATAAATTGATATTAGATAAACATGTTTCATTCTATAAAACATTTGTGTTGAATGTAGAAATAACCTGAACATATAGGATACAATACAAAAAAATCATGTACAGTAGTATGAAGTACATTTTAAATGCAGAAAATGAAATTGTGATTAGATAGCACAAATCTCCTATCAGGAATAGTAATTTTCAGTAATAGAAATCATTAGTACTCAATTGCTTCTTGTTCTCAATTTAGTTCTTTGAAAATAAGCATAAAATTGCTATCATACTGGAATACATTTGGTGGGTAACTTGCATTTTCTTTAACCTAAAATATAATTTATTTTATTATTTGCCCCTCTTCAGTCCTTATTACACAATATGATGGACTACAGAATAAATTACAGTAAACATTACATAAGATAGTAAAAATTAACAACTATTTATTATGCATAAAAATCACAAAAAATTATCTGAAGTAATAATTGTCACTGCTAGAATAACCAAATATTTTAAAATAATAAAGGGGGTAAAACAAGTTAAACCAAAATAAATTAACAAAAAATATACAAAAATAAAATACTATTAAAATGTGATAAAAGGAAGTATAATTATTTTATTTTTGTATATTTTTTGTTAATTTATTTTAGTTTAACTTGTTTTATCCCCTTTGTTATTTTAAAATATTTGGTTATTCCAGCAGTGACTATTAATTATTTCAGATAATTAATTTTTTTGTGGTTCTTACACACATGTATGATGATAAATACTGTAATTTATTCTGTAGTCCACTGAATTGTATAATAAAGACTGAAAAGGGGGCAAATAACCAAAAATGCATTTCCTTTTATAAAATAAAATACCCACTCTAATAAATTACCTACTAAACGTGTTCCTGTATGATAAGTTCTCTATAGCAATTTTATGCTTACTTCCAAAGATGGAATTATTGTTCATTCATTGCTTGTTTAAGATATTTTTCCTGTCTTTCTTAAATAACAGCTGATTTTAGTTTAGTAAGGATAATTTCAATGATGTAAAATGTTACCAGTAAATATTATAATTTAAAATGATTATATGTTTTTTAGGTGCAAGCTACATCGAAATGGGTGCTCAGTGGATTCATGGACAAAAAGATAATGTTTTGTATGAATTGGCTAAAGAACATGATTTAGTAGATGACGATGCACCTGATTATTTTGAAGCTATGTGTCGTTTACAACAGGTAAAGACAAGAGAAGAAGAAAATGAAATTGCAAAACTTTTTTACATTCTTCATGAAGCAGGAGAAGAATGCCATAAACTTTTGGAAGTGTCTAAAGATCCTCCTCCTCCTTCTCTTGGTCATTTTTTACGTCAGAAATTTCATGAACATCTGGAAGAATCAAATGATGAACCTCGCATGAAGAAATTAAAAGAGGCTTTCTTTGAATGGTATGTTAGTCTTCAAAATGAAATAAATGGAAGTAAATCATTAGATGATGTTTCTGCTGTTCTTTTAAAACATTATAAAGAATGTGAAGGACGAAGTTTAGTTGAACTGAAGTATAATTATGCTGGTATAATTGATTTATTTCTTAGAAATATTCCTTTAAAATGGATACATAAAAATCATGTTGTTTCACTTATCAAATATTCATCTCCTGAAGAACAATCTTCATCTGATATAAATGAAAGTGAAAATTTAGGCAAATCAATTATAAATGAAGCACTTCCTAGATTTTATCCACTTGAAGTGAAATGTGAAAATGGTAACACATTTTCTGCAGATCATGTCATTCTAACCATTCCTTTAGGTTGTTTAAAAGAAAATGCCCACAAGCTCTTTGATCCTCCTCTTTCTTCTAGAAAACTTGAAGCCATAAATTGTTTAGGATTTGGTGCAGTAAATAAAATATATTTGGAATTTGAATCGCCATTTTGGAATCATTTGGAAATAATTCATGTTCTGCGAATGGAAAATGAGAAGGTAGTATCAAAAAGGTGATCTTACTAATAAATTTTAAGCATTTGAGTTTTTCTTAAGCAAATTTCTTGCTTATTAAAAATTCATGAAAGAAGAGAGATGAAACATTTTAATTACATTATTATAATCAACAGGATAGTACCAATAAAGAGCTAAAAGAACCGTGGCATAGAAGTATTGCACGATTTAGCTATGTACTTGGACATCCTCATTTATTGTGTGCTTGGATTGGTGGAGATGGGGCTGTTTTTATGGAATCATTATCAGATGAAGAAGTTGCAAAAGGATGTCAGTCTGTTTTAAAAACAATGCTGCTATCAATAGAAGTACCACTTCCCAGAAAAATAATTAGGTAATATATTTATATTTTATTAACTGTTGTGCCAATTAATTATTATGTTAAATTAATCACTCTTTTTGATTAGAATGAATTTGCATTGTATTCTGAAAATTTTCTATTACACACCTTCAGAGAACACATTCCATGATGATGATATGAAAAAGAACAAAAATGGATTTTCCTATTGTCTGTCTTTTGTCATAATGCATTTCAAAATTAAGTTACCTACATCTTTTAGACAATTTTATAAAAATTAAATTATAAAATTAAGTAATTTTTTTATTCAAATGATCTTCAATAGACAAGACAGTTTTTAAGTTTATTTCATGATGTATCACTCAACGATTTTTTGAATGTTTTTTAATTAATAATAATATTAAGAAATGGCAGTTAGTACACAAGTTGATATCTGTGTCATGTGAGATTAACAGAAATAAATTAATCATCATATTTTGGTTCCAAATATTTTTACAAACTTCTATATTAATTTAGACTGTTACCACAACAGTTTTTCAATTTTCTTTACTTTTTGTTTATTTTCAAAAATCAATCAAAGAGATATTAATATTTAAGTAAAACATTTTAATATAAAACATTTAAAAGTTTTGTATTAAAATGTTTTACTTAATCAGATAGAATTCTTTCTTCTCTCTCTCCTCTCTAACAAAAAAAAATCAATTAAATTTATTCAGGTCTTGTTTCTCTGGATCATAGCCTTTAAATATCTTTAAAAATTCAGAAGATTTTGATACATGTCTTCCTCAAATTTATCTCAACTGACTGCTCAGGGAAATTTTATTTTGTTTTGTTATATGCTTTCTATTTGCATTTCACTCTATATCATATAACATATATATATGATTGCTGATGTTTTATAAAGTTGCTGGTTGCTGGAAAATTGTATGTACTTAACTTAAAAAGTTTAATAATTTGGTATCAATTTCAGTAACTTATATTCCAGGTCAAATTGGTATAGTGATCCTTATTCTAGAGGTTCTTATACTTATTTATCAGTAGCATGTGAACCTTCCAATATATTGCCTATTGACCTTGCTGAACCAGTATATGTTTCTAACAACAGTTTTTCTAAACAGGTAAACAAATTTTATTATGACATTCTATAAAATAACCATATTTTGATTAAACTTACTTATATTTTTCAGTATCCATTAATTCTTTTTGCTGGAGAAGCAACGCATTCAGATTATTATTCAACTGCACATGGTGCTTACTCAACTGGTATCAGAGAAGCAGATCGTCTTGCAAATTTTTACAAGTGAGTGCATTGAGAAAATAGACTGAAAACAAAAATGAAAATTTATATTGTCAAATTGTCCTATAATAAATTTACTATTGCCAAAAGAGTTATAATTTGATTTTAGAGACAATACTTCACTGAGTGGAACTACAGAAGTACAAAAAAGCACTCCACCTTCTTTAATATGTAACAATCTCAAAACATTTCACTCTCCAAGTTTCTTACCTCATGGAATGAATCCAAAAGTAATTATTATTGGAGCCGGAACTGCAGGACTGGCTGCAGCTCAACGCTTACTGCTAAATGGATTTAAAGACATTGTGATTCTAGAGGCACAACAATCAGCTGGAGGACGAATACACACTTATAAATATGGTGCGTTACTTTAATTGTAATTTGTTTTAATAAAATAAATATTTTTTGACATATCTTAAAATATTTTTGCTTTAGGAAAAGGTGTGTTGGAATTAGGAGCACAATGGGTTCATGGTGAAGAAGGTAATCCTTTGTTTGAGTTTGCAAATAATCGTGGTCTTCTTAGTAATCCAAAGCTGGATTACTCAGTAGAAAGGAGTGGAGTCTTTTGTACAGACGAGGGAATAATTTTAAACAAGAATGAAGTTGAAGAAGTTATTATGGTTCTAGATGGAATTAGAGAGAGTATTAATAATCATTGCTCAATTTGGCCAAGACCAGAAAATGAAATGCTCTCTGTTGGTCAGGTATTTTGTCAGCAGTTTGATAAATATTTATCTTCCTTAGATTGTTCAGAAGATAAAGTTAATATGATGAAAGGAATTTTTGACTGGTATATGAGATTTGAGATCATTGATAATGCTTGTAATAGCCTGGATGATCTTTCACTCGAAGGTTATTCAGAATGGCTAGAATGTGAAGGAGTTTGCAATATTAATTTTAGGAAAGGATTTAATAGTCTAATCAAACTTTTACTCCAAGACATTCCTATGAATTGTTTGAAACAAAACAAGCCTGCAAAACATGTAAATTGGGAAACATCATATGAAGCACATCATGGCATTTTAATAAAAATGTGTAAAGAATTAGTCAGTAGAGATTTTCTTGTTTCAGTGGAATGTGAAGATGGAGAAATCATTGAAGCAGATCATATCATTGTAACTCCTTCAATAGGATATTTAAAGAAACATATAAATACATTTTTCAAACCTGAATTACCAGAAGAGAAGAAAAGTATAATTGAAAGTTTAGGATTTGGCACCATAGACAAGATATTCTTAATTTTTGAAAAACCATTTTGGGAGAAGCATGACATTGGTTTTCAGTTAATTTGGACAAGCAAAACTAAAGACTCATCAGTGCCAGAAGTATATTAAAATTATTATTTTCATAGATTTTAATAAAAATTAGATTTCATGAAAATATTTCTTACAGGAAGAATACTGGATTCGTGGGATATCTGGTTTTGATATTGTACATGGACAACCAAATGTTCTTGTTGGCTGGATTGGCGGGAAAGCAGCTGAAGATATGGAAAAAGTACCCGAAAAAGAAGTTGGAGAAATCTGTGTTAAATACTTAAAACGATTTTTAGGAAAATCTGATATATCAGATCCAATTCAAGTTGTCAAGTTTGTTCATATTTAATAATAATAATATTTTTATAATTTATTTTTCAAATATGTAAGAAATTTTTAAATTTATACCCTTTTTTTTTTTTTAGATCATCTTGGTATAGTAATCCTTTTATTCTAGGAGCATACAGTCATCGTACAGTAATATTTGAAAAACAGGGATTAAAAATCAATGATTTGTCTGAACCATTATTTTGTAATGTGACTGTAGATGACAAAATAATTAAGGTATTCAATATTTAATTTTGTTCTATTTTATTTTGTTAGGAAATAACGAAAATAATGTACTAAAATATTTCAGTGGCCAACAGTTTTATTTGCTGGAGAAGGTACAGATCATGAATTCTTTTCTACTGTTCATGGGGCACTTCGTTCAGGATGGAAAGAGGCAGATCGATTGACATTATTTTGGTGGTAAGTAAAAATAAAGATTAAAGTTTTTCGAAATTATTAATTAAAAACAATTTCTGTTTTAAGGAATCAGAAAGATGCACTTTTTGAACTACATCCTTCTCATCCAAAACTTTAAATCCTATGTGATTATAAAGCAGAAACTGTATAATTGTTTAGATCCATTAGCTTCTATGACCAAAAGAAAGTGCAATATTGATAATATAATAAGAATTGAAAGTAAAGATTTTCTCATAATTAGCTTAACGGGTACAAAAGCTTTATGTGCTCAAACTGTTAAATATATATATTTTGATTCACATGATCAGAGTGTATTATAGAAATTACATATATGATCATCAGTATTATATTACTATCTATTTTAGTGCCAAATATGCTTTAAGGTTTTCTCTAATGTGGCTGATAATTTTGCATATTTTTAACTTTTTAAAACAACACATAATACAGAAAAATCAAAGAATTATTTGTCTAAAATATTTATATACTGTGATAAAATTAATTGTGATGATTTTTGGTAAGAATTTTTTAAATCCCAGTATCCTGAAATGATGCTAATTATGTACTAAATTTAACTCTTATTTCTAATAATAAAGAAATATATAATAATGTATCTGAGAAATTTTGTTAAATATTAATTGACAATCACAAAGCTATATTTAAAAGTTTTATTTTTAATTATTTAAAGTTTTTGTAGTTTCTTTCTAAAAATGTACTGTATATATGTGTACAAACATTTTACACCATGGGACCTAATCTAAAAGTGCAATCTATCATAGAAAATTCATTTCATAATAAATACAGGTATAGAAATTACATGTAGTTTAAACTCAAACGTTTATGGTTTGCAAAAAAAAAATTGCACTGAGTAGAAATGTATTTTAATCTGTCAATATTGTGCAAGACACATTTAAAATTTTGTAAAAGCAATTCTGCACTGTAAAATATATTAACTGTATTAATTCAGAATACTTTTTGTTTGAAAATGCATAAATTAGACAATAAAATTTCATTCAAAGAATTATTCATTCTTTTTATTATTTCTTTTTTGTAAACACATTGTGCACAGACAATTCTGAGTTTTTGAAAACAGAAAAATTTCTCATACATTATGTTTCATAAAAGACATTTCCTGATGAGGAAAACTGTTAAGATTTGAAATCCTTCATTAATACCGTACAAAGAAGCTGAGAATTTAACTTTAAATAAAAATACTGGAACGCAATTATGGAAAGATGAACTATAACCAATGTTTAGTATGGTTATGTTCACAAATAACATTATCACTTTCTGTTAAACTACAATCAAAAAGATGTCCATTTGTGACAACTACATAATATGAAAGACAGTTAAATACGGTGATTTTTCTCAATAAGATAGGAAAAACTGTATATAAAACATGACTACCAATTAACAGTGGACCCACGTGGACTTGATATAATGCTTTGGAAATAAGCTCAAATCCAATGTTTGGCATCTAAACACAGGAAGACCCACTGAAATCACAGGAACTATTAACACTCACAAGGAAATACTGATGACATGCAAATTTTGCTAACACTAGTTTCTCTTTGAGAGAAACATCTATTGCTGTATGTAGAGGCCACAATTTGATGGCATATGGAAGGCTATAATCAAGTTTCACTTGAAAATTAATTTGGGAGTTTACTGCATTTGGATGTAAATCTGCATAGCAGCTACGGTATAACTTTACACTTGTTCCTCCCATAGAGACCTTTATCCTGCATAGGTTGAGTTCATATGGATGGGGAATTTGATATTGTGAAGGAGTCAAGCTTTGTTGCAGTGATGGACAGATGTTTAAAAACTTTGGTGATGAGAATCTATCAGTACAAAATGTTTTTACTCAACCACAAGTGCAGAAATTTCAATTATAAAATAGGAATCTCGGTATTTATTCCACAGCTAGATATTATTGTTACACCTATTTAATTCTGAAAAACTACGATGCAGTTTTGTACTTCAGGTGTCCACCATTGAAAATACACTAAATGCAAAATGTCCACTGAATTTTGAATGGCTTTTTATTATTATTAAAGGCTGAGATTGTCATTTTGTGTGCAGGTCTCTTGAAATTCTGCCTTGACTTTCTACTTTATACAATTAAAAATTGCTTAAGTCTCTCTTAGCATTCTAAATTTATAAAAGACAACTCAAAATTTCTTTGATATTTCTTGTTCCATATCATAGTTTTCAATCCTCTTAAACATTTCACTTTTTCACTTGAATAAAATAAAAAATATTTATGACTAATGCAAAATAATAATATATANACACAAGTGGGCATATCAGTCAAAGATTCATCATCTATAGTGTATTGTACTGTTGTGCTACAATGCACTACAGACAATGGGACATTAACTAACCCTTTGGTTACATGTGATGAACACTGACATGAGTGTCCCATCACTAGTATTGTAGTATGTACAGTACAGTACCATCAAGCATCTGACTGACCATACCCAACACTCGATTCAATAGGCTTGAGCTGCAAATATCAACAAATTAAAGCATACTTAATGATTGTATTATTATTATTTACATGTTGGATACTTTCATAAAAAAAAAAACACCTTAAAAATAAGATTTTAAAATGATTTTCTAGCTTTAAGTTAAGTTTTACCGTTTTTATGGTTTTCATTATCTTGTCAAACAGTAAATCCTGATTTCACTTCATTCCATTACTGATAAATCAGTGCTTACTGTTTATAAAACTATAAATAACTGTAGCACATGTATGATATCATAAGAGTATTGCTATACATTTTCAACAGGAGGCCATGATATGCTTGACTGTTGTATAAAGTTGAGGCTTTTTTAAAACCTACAAATACCACAGATCGTTTCATAAAAATTTGTACCTCTGCCAAAAACTACACAAACTGGAAGACAACATTTTCTTACTAACAAAATCCAAGACAATAAGTTTTCTAACAAACATATTTAACAAAGAAAAAAAAAATGCATGACTTAAAAAAGCTTAACAATAAGCTGCTTGTTCTATCACAATTTCACACACGGCCATAATTGACCGTATCTAGCTTTACTTCATCATGATTAGCCATTGTTTTGAGAATCTAAAATTAAAAATGTACACATTTGGTGGTCCAGCAAAATAAATCAAGGGCTTAAAGCCTAATACAATCTCTTGTACAAAATATTTTTTTTTTTAATGCTAGACCCCCTTGTGGAATTTTTAAAATTTTGGCACAGAATATTTTTTGTTAATTTTCACTGTAAACCTATATACACAATACACTACAAGCAATTGATCAAACCCATTTTCATTATGGTATGGTCCTTATCCTAAAGGCTGTGTTTCTTTTAGCAGCCATTGGAAGGCACTATGTTTTCCTTGTTCTTTCAAAGCTTTTCCCACAATATCTCTACACATTTGATGATAATTATCAAGCCACTCCAACTAGAGGAAAAAGAAATTTCATTAGATGCTAGCAAATTAAATAATTCAATTACTAATATATTAATTTATTATGTAATTAATTTTTGCAAAATCCTTCCTAAAACATTTAAAAAAGACATTAAATTTTAAATAAGTTAAAATTATTAAATATTATAGTTTAGAAAATCTAGAAATATTTTGTTCTGAATCAAAAAGTAAACTGCTTGCTTTATAAAATCAAAAGTATCTATTGAAATATTTTGAAGAAGGTATAAACATAAAATTTTTACATTGTATTCAACAATTACTTATTTATACTTGTTCTAAAATTCTATAATAAACATTCATTATATAAAAATATTTTTTGGAGTTTAAAAAGAAAAAATCGTGAAGTAAAGCATAGCTTAAACATTATCCAATGTTAGTATTAAATATATAATTATTGCAATGTGTTTTACATTAAATTTGTGATTAAAAAAGGAGAATATTTTGAACTTGTAATATTGAGTTCTTAGTATTTAAAAAGAATTTGAGTTCAAAAATAATAAAAAAATTAGAATTTTGTTTTGGTTGTTCAAAAACTAGCTAATACAGTATTATCTCAATAAAAGAACACTAATGAAGAAACCCAACTTACTATATTTCTGTGCAAAAGATTTCACATAAGAGCATGCTCTTGTGTATGTCAATTTATGAGTTCTGCACTGTTGTGTCAATGTAAATTACATGTAAATGTACTGATACAATAACTATTCAGTGGCATCTCTGGTAACCATTACTTAAAGCCAAAATAAAAAGCTTTCAATTCTATAAACATTATTTTAAAAATAGATTTTTTTAAGTACTATGTAGACCAGCAGTTCAACTTATTTTTATCATGGAATCCTTTTCATATCAGTAAAAAATGTTGAACTGTGACAGTTTTTAATGATTATGGATAAAACAGAAAAAAAAACAGATTAAATAATGGAAAGCAAATATTAGTACTTAATTCAAACTGATCATTAAGGTGAAGGGTTAAACTTTTCTTTCAATACAGTATTTTAAACTGCACTAGTGCCTGGATTTTTACCTTCATTTGAAAAGGCAGATACAATCTCCTTGTCACTAGAAACATTTGAAGTACTTGCTACATTTTTCTTCAAAACTCTTCTCTCAGCTAACATTCCATAATTTTTTTAATTAGGGGTATACACAATACTAAAAGCACTATAAATTTATATGATTCCACTATATATGAAAAATACTTTAATAATCTTTGATATGCCTGCTTATACACACAAGTGGGCATATCAGTCAAAGATTCATCATCTATAGTGTATTGTACTGTTGTGCTACAATGCACTACAGACAATGGGACATTAACTAACCCTTTGGTTACATGTGATGAACACTGACATGAGTGTCCCATCACTAGTATTGTAGTATGTACAGTACAGTACCATCAAGCATCTGACTGACCATACCCAACACTCGATTCAATAGGCTTGAGCTGCAAATATCAACAAATTAAAGCATACTTAATGATTGTATTATTATTATTTACATGTTGGATACTTTCATAAAAAAAAAAACACCTTAAANTTATATCATATCATTGATTATTCTTTCCAACACTTTTTTTGAGAATAATTTTTCAATTGTGAAAAAATTTTTTTAGTTTTTTAAAGCACTGAAAATTTTACATTTGAAATAAATTATTATAATCCTATTTTCTTTTTTTTTATTTAACTTTTATTAATTTATGAACTACTAATAGATAAACCCGAGTGAAGCCAGGCTTATAAAGTACTCCTTGCAGCAATTGTTACACCCGGCATTATTAATTGTAAATTTCAAAAATGTATGTGGTAAAATGGGTTTTAAGAACATTATCAGAATGCCCATAAACTATATGTGAAGTATGACCTCATAAATATAGAAGTTTATAGATAAATTATTACAATTTGGTTTATTTGGTTATTATAACAAACAAACATACATTCTCATTCATAGATATAGATAAAAAGAGATATTTTTAATGATAGCTTTATGCTTCTACCATAAACAAGCATAAATCTTGCATGTTTATGAGCAGCAGCAATATGTCAAACAATAATCTTGTTTTTTTGGTACATACATCACAATTATATAGACTAAATTATTATTTAAACACTGCTTGTATATTGAAAAATATTATTACTGATTGATTTAATTTTTCCCACTATTTTTATAATCATTCAACATGATGTGCTTAAAAATACTGCAATTTCTTCTTGATATATAAATTATCTCTTATATAGAATTACAATATCTTGTTTTTCAAATAGAATGTTAAAGTTCTAGAAAAGGAAAATGATCCAGACTTGTTTACTAAGATGATAACTGGTAATAAATCATGGTGTTGTGGTTTTGATCCGGAAACTAAACGTCAATCCAGCCAGCGGAAAACATCAGGATCTCCTCGTCCCAAAAAAGCAAGTTGAATGTGAAAACCATGTTAATCTGTTTTTTTGATGTGAAAGGAATTGTTCATTCTAAAATTCTTCCATCCAGACCAGACATTCAATTGACATTGTTATCTGGAAGTCCTCAAAAGACTGAGAAGGAAGAGAAAGAAGAGAGTTGTGGCGAATGGGGGATTAGTTTTTCCATCACGACAATGTACCCACTCAGCATGGCACTCTCTGTGCACCAGTTTTTGACAAGAAATGGAACAACCCGCCTCCTCAACCCCATTCACCTGATCTCGCACCTCACATTTTTTTTTGTTCCCCAGGATGAAGAAAGAACTCAAAGGGACGCGATTTCAGACAGTAGAAGAGCTGAAAACAAAAACGACAAAGGTGCTAAAAGGCATTTTGGAACAGGAATTTTCTAGGTGTTTTGAACAACAGAAAAAAGTTTGGACAAGTGTATTGAGGCTAACAGAGAATATTTTGAAGGAGATTAAAATATGAAGTTGTTAACACATACACACTTTGATTTGATAAAATATATGATAAAATTTTTATATAAAGGAGACTCATCTTTGAAACTAAAAGAAATATCAAAAACAAAATATGTACTGTACATACTTTATTGTTTTTTCTTGTTGGCTTTTATTTACTTTATTGTAGACACATACATGCTTTTCTATTAATTTGACATTTTTGATGGCCAATTAGGTCACAGCATGGCCATATGTCAGATTACTGAAACTGCATTCTATTCTGTTTTATTAAACAAATTCTCTCCAATAAATTTCTTGTTAATTCAATTATTCAATCATAAATTTATAAATAATAAGTATCACTTATTACTCACCTTCATGAACATTAAGGTAAGCACCTACACCATGTCCTGAACACAATGTTTTCTTCGTCATCACTAAGCACTATTAACTGAGGGTGTTTTCTTTTTGGCAAGATAGCCTTATCCTCTAAGCATTTTTCTGCATTATCTTCAGATCCATGCTCTACCTTTTACAAAAAATATGTTATTTTAGATTGCTTGCTTTTAGTTAAAAGATCTTTATAAATTTCCTTATATGGTGCTAAGCACTAATGATGAATAAAGCAAGTATGGAATAAGGGAAAACATCTGACAACACAAAATCAGAAGCATAGAGATCTGGCAACACTGAAACAAGTATCGAGAAGGATTACATGTATCGACAGAAGGCAAAAAAGAAAATTTACATAAGTTCTAATAGTTCATAAAAATAATAATTTTTGTGAACTATTAGTACTTAAGTATGTGAAAATCTATTACATTTCATGTTGTACGAGGGTTTTACCCAATTCTCGAACTGTGTTAGAGTGAATCTGTGCTATAAAAGCACCAAGTTATACGGGAGTTACCTGTATTCTATATTAATAACTAATAATTACAATTACCAGCAGAAAGTATCATTCCCTCTTGCAATCCAGGATCATCTGGATTGTTTTTCCAACTTATTCCAACAGGACCTAAAATATAGAAATATGTTTTCAAATTTTATAAACATATTATATATAATCTTTTAATTGTTATTAATTACCTATATTCAGTTAATGACTATTTTTTTTTCTAAACTTTATCTCATCTTTCAGAAGTTTTATTTTTTTTTAACACACGTGTTAACCGTAATATTTAATTTTCTAAAGTGAGTATCCTTGGAATATGTTACTTATGATGCCACCTAAATTATCATGAATAATAAAGCTCTAAAAAAGCAATTCCTATTAGATGCATATTATATCATATCATTGATTATTCTTTCCAACACTTTTTTTGAGAATAATTTTTCAATTGTGAAAAAATTTTTTTAGTTTTTTAAAGCACTGAAAATTTTACATTTGAAATAAATTATTATAATCCTATTTTCTTTTTTTTATTTAACTTTTATTAATTTATGAACTACTAATAGATAAACCCGAGTGAAGCCAGGCTTATAAAGTACTCCTTGCAGCAATTGTTACACCCGGCATTATTAATTGTAAATTTCAAAAATGTATGTGGTAAAATGGGTTTTAAGAACATTATCAGAATGCCCATAAACTATATGTGAAGTATGACCTCATAAATATAGAAGTTTATAGATAAATTATTACAATTTGGTTTATTTGGTTATTATAACAAACAAACATACATTCTCATTCATAGATATAGATAAAAAAAGATATTTTTAATGATAGCTTTATGCTTCTACCATAAACAAGCATAAATCTTGCATGTTTATGAGCAGCAGCAATATGTCAAACAATAATCTTGTTTTTTTGGTACATACATCACAATTATATAGACTAAATTATTATTTAAACACTGCTTGTATATTGAAAAATATTATTACTGATTGATTTAATTTTTCCCACTATTTTTATAATCATTCAACATGATGTGCTTAAAAATACTGCAATTTCTTCTTGATATATAAATTATCTCTTATATAGAATTACAATATCTTGTTTTTCAAATAGAATGTTAAAGTTCTAGAAAAGGAAAATGATCCAGACTTGTTTACTAAGATGATAACTGGTAATAAATCATGGTGTTGTGGTTTTGATCCGGAAACTAAACGTCAATCCAGCCAGCGGAAAACATCAGGATCTCCTCGTCCCAAAAAAGCAAGTTGAATGTGAAAACCATGTTAATCTGTTTTTTTGATGTGAAAGGAATTGTTCATTCTAAAATTCTTCCATCCAGACCAGACATTCAATTGACATTGTTATCTGGAAGTCCTCAAAAGACTGAGAAGGAAGAGAAAGAAGAGAGTTGTGGCGAATGGGGGATTAGTTTTTCCATCACGACAATGTACCCACTCAGCATGGCACTCTCTGTGCACCAGTTTTTGACAAGAAATGGAACAACCCGCCTCCTCAACCCCATTCACCTGATCTCGCACCTCACATTTTTTTTTTGTTCCCCAGGATGAGGAAAGAACTCAAAGGGACGCGATTTCAGACAGTAGAAGAGCTGAAAACAAAAACGACAAAGGTGCTAAAAGGCATTTTGGAACAGGAATTTTCTAGGTGTTTTGAACAACAGAAAAAAGTTTGGACAAGTGTATTGAGGCTAACAGAGAATATTTTGAAGGAGATTAAAATATGAAGTTGTTAACACATACACACTTTGATTTGATAAAATATATGATAAAATTTTTATATAAAGGAGACTCATCTTTGAAACTAAAAGAAATATCAAAAACAAAATATGTACTGTACATACTTTATTGTTTTTTCTTGTTGGCTTTTATTTACTTTATTGTAGACACATACATGCTTTTCTATTAATTTGACATTTTTGATGGCCAATTAGGTCACAGCATGGCCATATGTCAGATTACTGAAACTGCATTCTATTCTGTTTTATTAAACAAATTCTCTCCAATAAATTTCTTGTTAATTCAATTATTCAATCATAAATTTATAAATAATAAGTATCACTTATTACTCACCTTCATGAACATTAAGGTAAGCACCTACACCATGTCCTGTACTATGAGAATAATCTAGACCAACTTCCCAAAGAAATCTACGAGCTAAGGTATCCAACATTTGCCCTGTAATAAACTTATATTTATGTTATATGTTGTGTATACTATAAAAAATTAAAACATATTAAATTTTTTCGAAATAAAAATAACTTAAAATTTAAAAACAAAAATAGAAGAACATTATATTAATGTATGATGTTAATTATTTGCTTATTTATCAAATTCATTAACAACTTTTACTCAGCTGAAAAAAAACAATGTTTAAATAATTTTTTAATTGTTATTGAATGTTTTCAAAAATAAATGTTAATATATTTAAAATTTAATTTAAATAAAATCATTAAACTGTTATTTAATAAATATCAAATTTTATTGATATATTAGCAGATATGCTCATTGCTGCCCAGGCAAAAAATAAGAACAAGAAACATTAAATAAAAACCATATTAAGAGTTTGGTTATTTTAGCCTACCACTGTCTTGTTTATTGTGAAGTGTTAAGTAAATTATAATTAAGCAATAATAAAATGTAACAAAACAAAATGAAATTGACATAATTCTACTTTGAACAGGGAAAAACAAATGAGTCTTTTTACATTCTTATAACAAAAATTAAGTGAACAGTCAACAAATGGACCAAAGGTTAACACTTGGCATCCTGGAAAATCCCAAGTACATGTTTGTGCTTTCTAAGAATGTAATACTTGGATGATAGAGAATGGTGCAATCTCATTGGTCAGGTAAATAGGAATTGATGTGTTTCAACAGAAAATAATCATTGGCTTCTTTCTGCCCGAATAAGCAGATAATTCAAAACAATTTTTTATAATGTTAACTCTAATATACCATTCACAATCAAATACAAACTAGTAATTGTCCAACCAATCAAAATTCACAAAAAATGGCCAAACATATAAACTTGGCACTTTTTTTTATGCTCTCTAGCAACTTTATATTAAGTAATTTTCCTATTGGAATACCACCATACCATACTGTTGGTCAGATAGAAAGGGGAGACCTGTTGCTGATGGTGAGGTTGAAGTTATCTCAACCAAAAGTAGTAATTGAACTCCTTGTGGATGAGAGGATGTCCCCCAAAAAGTTTCATTGCATTTGCTCAAAATTTATAAAGAACAAACTAACTTACAAACTTTCTTCCTTACATATTACATTTATAAAAAAAATTTAATATGAAAATGATACAAATTTAATAAAATTTCCAGTTTCAACAGTTTACATTAATTGAGAGATTTTACAAAACAGATGTTAATTTCATTTCAAATGAAATGTTATAGATAATTATGATTAAAAAAATGTCTTTACTAGGGTGTTTTGCTGCAGCTTGCTCTTTCCTTATTATTCATAATAAAAATTTAATGATTCATCAACTTCCAGTACTAACAACTCTATTTTTTTTCTTGTAATGGAAAAGCATCATAATAATTTTAAGCCAAGAATTTTATATACATATATAAAATAGACTAGGAATTTTTAAACCTTTCGTTAATCTTGGAAACACAGCAGATACCACAGCAATATGACCTTTCACTACTCTAGTGAAACATTCCTGTAAAAAAACAATGTTTAAATTAATTTAATAACTTATTTACATATATTGAAAATTTAAATAATAAGAATTTATAACAACAACTATATTAACTAATAAATATTTAATATTAATAGTATTTATAATGTATTTTATGCAATTATTTTTTATTACATGTAAATTAAGTGTTAAGATGTATATGATCCCATCAGAACAAACCAACAAATATAGAAACACTAAAATATTAAGATATCCAAATATTTTACACAAGATTTTGAGTCATTTTGTCTTCAATTAGATCACATTCAAATAATTCAACTAATTAAAATAAAAAAAACACTTTTTCAAAAATATTCTAATGGCATTATTTGAACATTTCAAGCATAGAATGTCACTGAAAATTTTAAACTATAAAATAAGTATATTATGCAATAATCTGTTAAAATAAAAATAATGACTTATAATATATATTTATACAGGGTATCTCAGAATAAATTTACAATTTTGAAAATGAATAAAATGTCAACCACAGAGTACTATTAGAGGGTGATGAGTGCATTAAGTTAAAGAAGAGATGCAGATTTGTTAGTCACAATACTGCAGTGGTCAAGTGAACACCATGCATTTATAATAGCGGCATATTTCAAGGCCAAAAATTCTTACACAGTTGCTAGACATCAGTTTTGTGCTCAGTTTAATATCTGCTGTTTGAGTGATGCACCAACTGTCAAATCTTATTCTTTTGTAAGTGAAAAGGTTTAGGATGACATCCTCAGCTAAATACAGTCAAACTCTTATAATTGAGCATTAGGGAACTGGCAAGATTTCCTTGTTATATCCATGAAGAGCAGTGATATAACCAGGGTATAAATGGTCAGCTGCTTTGGGTGCAAACACTTAGGGGACACCCAATGGATGGCAAAATTTGTAGCTAGGCCACTGATAATGAAATCTATTTTTTAATTTTTAATTCTAAATAAATCGTTTAAAAAATTTAATTACATTATACTATATTTTTATTAATAGTAATTACATTGTAGTTTATATATATAAATATTAAACAATTTATTATTTTTTTTAAATTAAAGATAATACTAATTAATAATATACCCAATTTCAGTTCGTCCCTTTATCTACAAATCTTAAAATTGATGTTTGCTTTATTTTTTCATAATGTCAATATTGTTGAAGATGACAAAGAAAACTTTCTACACACTTTGATGGTTTTAGCACCATGTAGTAACTCAAGAATAATTTCTACTTTTTCGTAAACCAAAATACATTCTTTTCTTTATAGAAATCTTTCTCATAGAAAGGTTTGTTTCTAACTAGATTATACAGTAATTTTACATTCAGTGATAATCAGGTAAATTGGCAGAGTGAAGCTGGAGTAATCAGAGTAGAGTTGGAAGCTTTCTTTTTGGAGACAGTCTCCCTCTTTAAGAGATGGTCTCCAAAAAGAAAGTTAAGTAATAAAAAGATCTGTAATACATGCAGGTCACAAAACTAATTATCCAGTGGTCATAAAACTATCAATAAATACAGTAACCCTTTCAGTTTTATCTATTTCAAGAATTCAGTATCGCATTTCTTATTATTCGAACAATTAAGAGTGTTTATGTGTTTGCATAGCTACCGAAAATTTGCTTCGTATATCCATGAAGTATATCCATATCTCATTATATCCATGAAAAAATATACAGAAATATGCATAAATTAAAATTGTTATGTCATTTTGCTTGTTATATCTGTGCTCATTATAACCAAGTTTGACTGTACTCTAAGACCAAGTTGAAGGAGAACTTCAAGTGATGAAAATATGGATGTTGTGTAGGTGGCTGTTCCGCAAAAACAAAGGCACTCTGTGCACAAATATGCAGCTGCTCTTCATCAGATTATGAAGTTAAACCTATGCTTCCATCCATATAACTTAAGATCCAAAACTGTACAAGAAATAATGGATTCAGATTATGAAAGTGCAAATCTTACTGCAGAAAATGCTGAAAGATTTTGTTTTCAATAATGGCTCAAGCAATGTTTTTGGAGTAATGAGACCCACTTCCACCTAAAACAGATACGTTAACAAACAAAACTGTCATTACTGGTCTCAATGAAACTCTAATAACAATCATCAGAGACCATCCTGAAGTGACAGTTTGGTGTGAAATGTCTATGGTGGGAATTATTGGTTCATATTTCTTTGAGAACAGCTGAGGTTGCCCACTTACTGTCAACAATACAAATTCTGAAATGATAAGAAATTTTTTCATTCCAAAGCTTCATAAGAATTCTGCCTAAGATGCAAATACCTGGTTTCAGCAGGATGGAGCAATGACACATATTTCAAGAGCCTCAATGAGCATTGTTTGAAAAAATTTTTGGGTAAAGTTATCCCAAACTTTGGCAAACATTCCTACTTCCAATGTCACCTGACCTTACCCCTATTGAATATTTCTTGTAGGACTATCTCAAGAGCAAAGTGTACATAGACCTCCTGAACAATATTCAATAGTTAAAATATTAGAGCCAAAATAAACAATATTGCAATGAAAACTTTTCAATAATTGGAAACAATTAGGAATATGAAGGGTAGATTAGAGGAGTGCTGTTGCCAAGACAGATGACATCTTAAAGATGTAATTTTTAAAACATAAAATTGGCATATATTTATTAAAATATTTTGTAATCGTTTGTTGAAAATTATTTTATTGTCTCTAAATAGTTGTCAGACTTGCAAACTTTTCTTATGATTTTTGACAGTTTCTATTCAAAATGAATTTTTTGGATTAAATTAATTTCTTATTTTGTACAAATTGTAAGTATTACATTATAGAAGTCTTAATTGAAAATCCATAACAAGAAAGACATAATTGTGAAGAGAGAAAGAACATAATTTATATGATGAAATGAAACTAAAGTTCAGATATTACTAGAAATGAAGTTCCAGAGTAGAAGGTAGATTAATTTGAAGTAAATATGGCTAATGAGAATTTAGAATTACAATAACATCTTGTGTATCTGCAAAGTGATTCAGCACTTCAGTCGATGTTCAGGAACAATTGACACAATTTCTGGATTAGTGTGGAAATTGAAAAATTTATTCAACTTCGGGACAAGGCAAAAAATTTTTGTAACTTCAGAGTTTCTATTTAGTTGAATCAGATTTTAGTAGAATCACTTATCTGATATCAAAAGTTCAAAACAGATTGATGGGTGATCTTCTCTGTTCTTAATAGCCAAAGAGTTATGTTTAACCCTTTGGCTATTGGGATTTTCATTAGATGGTATATTGTGGCTATTACACTGCATATATAATATTACTTCATATCCTCCAATATTTATTTTTTTTTTAAACATGAATGAAATAGAAGGGGAATTAATCTTACACNGTAACTTCTCCTTGAGACACCTCTTCATTTAACCAAGCAAAAAATTCACACATTGCAACACCATCTTTTATCTATTATAAAAGTAAATTCTATTTTAGAAAGTTTAACAAATAATTTATTGTACAGTACATTATTGTAAAGATAATGTTTGTTAAATTAATAATAGTACTTAATATACAATGATAATATTGGAATAGCCTAAAATAATAAAATTTTTAAATGAATAGTAATAAAAAGCACACACAATATTAAATGGTAGAAATTATCATAAAAACACAAATTTAAACTTTTAGAGATCCTTGGAACAACAACAGAATTATGAAAAGTCTATAGGATCCCTTTACATCAGCAAGTGCCCATAGCTAATGCTTTAAAGTGCAGAATTTCAAAATCTATGAAATATAATACACTATAGGAAATCTAAACAAAGCTGGCAGTTTTCTGACTAGATATAAATTGTGATGCAGTTTGAGACTAGCAGAATTCTTTAAAGCAAGAGTTTTGTAAAAAGCTTTTTCTATATGTAACTATTAATATTCTAAATTGGATTACTAACCAACCAATCTACTTTTAATCTCAATAGTGTGTTAAATGCTAACCTGTATGTATAAAAATAATTTTATGGCCTACATTGTATTATTTCTATGAAAATTCTTTTGAATTATTTGTATTATCTAATTATTTTCTTAATATTAATAGTTTATTGTATGAGATAATTTGGATCCACAGAATGCTTAAATTTTGACTTTTTAAGTTCTTAGCTGAAAAGTCTAGTTAGTTTATGCTAAAGTCCCATTACATATTACACTATGTGGGTTGATCAAAAGCTGGGCTGTTCCTATTGTTTGGCAATAATGCAAAGTACATGCATTTTAAGTGGATTGTGTAAAATTTGTTCCTCTCAGTCATACATTGAATTCATATTTTTACTGACTTTTTGAGATAATTGTGTGAAGATGTTTATCACAAAAGACTAGAACTGTGATGTCACCAAACCTGACTTCTTCACACTGCTTCTGCACACAGCCTTCAAAATGTAAGTGTTTTTGGAGAAAAAGAAGTTACAATGGGCTAAATCCCTTACTGGATTTAGCCCATTACAACTTCTTTTTGTTCTCCATTATGAAATTGAAGCTCAAGGAGTAGTGTTTCAATGTGGTTGAAGAGATCCAAATCACAGTCCAAATCACAACAGGTGCTTCAGAATTTTCAAAACAATGGCTTTCAAGGATTGTTTGAGACAGCAGAGCAGTGGGATTGCTGTATAAATTATGGAAAGACTACTTTAAAAGAGATGGAGATCAGATTTAAATTAGTTAAGTATTTAAATCTTTATAAACCAAATGTGATTCTTTTTTGATCATATCTCAATTCTGACCCATCATCAGAAAACAATTTGCCATCACCGATCTGGAGCATTATAAATAAGAAGAAGAATCCTTCCTTGGATTAATTGTTGAATTGATAAAACAAACTAGATTGTATGAACTGGATTTGGTATGCCAACTGAATAAGTGGCACTATAAACACTCCAAGAAACTGCAGCAAGAACCTGTAAAATGAAAGTGCATGACTCTATTGTTAAAGGAAAAGTATGATGTACAGGAACAAACACTTCTAATAATTTGAGGTGGAGAGCACACATTAAAAATTGCAGCCCCAATAATTGCTCGTTTCACTTCGATCTTTTTTCAGTAGACTTAAACAAAACTTTTGACATGACAAAACCTGTGAAATACTGTTTAAACATTGTGATCAAATGTGTTATTCAAAATTATTCGTTAAAAAATTATTCAAAAATGATTCCTATTGCTAGCAAAGGGAGAACCAGATGTTCAGTCTCCAATTTGAACAAAACTTGGTGAGGACGTAGCTCTAAACACAAACAACTCCTTGACCAAATAATAGGACCCATTTTTCAAGCATTTCCAACACTTGGGCCTCTTAATGTTTAGCTTATAAGTCTTTGGAAGTTTCATATCCAAGAGTGATGATCCTGAGTGAATAAATCTACAGAGAAAACTCTTGTTTTCGCTAAACAGGAAATGACGTCAAAATTTAAAATTTCTTGTTTTATAAGGTTCACATCAAAGGACAATTATGCATTTATCTTAGTTTAGAATTAATAAGTTACATCATCATTGCCACTGAAAATAATTTTTATGTTATTGTACCATCATACAATATGTTTCACAATAACAAAAATTATTTTCAACTATACAAAAGAATTAACCACAAATATAAATTTCTTTACAAAGAAATTAAAATAATTAAATATAAAAAACAGAACCACCGTCTCAAAAGTTTAGATAATTTCCATTAAATAATAGTATAAATACTTGAAAGTTGTTTTTCCATTTGCAATTTTCATTAACATTTTCGATGTTATAAAATAACATCGAAAATGTTCTATTTGGCAGAGAGAGAATTTTTTTTAAAGCTCAAGTTTAAATTTAACTAGTTTCTTTCTATTGCCCCTTTCTATTCAGAAATAAGTAAAACAGCAAAACCATATTTGGGACAAGACTGTCTCGGAGATGGAATCACTTTGATGCTCAAGGCAGGTCTTGTTCCCATTCTCCTATCTTCTTTGATATCGCTGCTATTGGGCGCGATCGTTCAAACTTCACCGGCCACGACCACGAGATCATTCACAATGCATCTTCAATGAAATTAACCTATCTAATTTCAAAATTTCGCTCCGTTGTGTGTCGGCCCGGGTTGAGTTTTTGTCAATGCGTAATGAAAAGTTCCTGTTTTTGAAAAAAATAATCATGACTATTGTATCGTCCGAAATTATTTTTTTATTTTGCACAAACAATATACAGTTTAACCCAATTATAATGCCATCGAATGTAATGACAACCCTAATATAATGTCAAATTTTTATCGGTCCCACGATTTTACTATACTAGATACGTTAAAAAAACCCACTTGTAACGAAATAAAACTGTTTTAACGTCATATTTGAAGCACTCCCAAATTTACAAAATTAGATTACAAATTTTATTTAACATAGAAGAAACTACGTGTTCAGTCCTAAGGTCAGAGTTCACTTCTCAGAATGACTATGGGTGGTCAGAATGACTCTCCTACCTGACTTCAGTGGGGTAAGGTGGCTGTTTTGCCTGTTTGTAGAAGAGGGTTGCCATTCTGTATTTTATTTTGACTCAATTCTCAGTCCCCTGACTACCTACGAGTCTGGATTTTTTTTATGCGCAAATGATTTGGGCACCTAATACTCTGTGCCAAATATCAACTCTCGACATGTAATCCTTCATATCTATGCTGGTAAGAACATCGGGCAGTACGATTTTATAAACAAGACATAGTCTTGTCAATATTAAAATACTTCTTTATTCCATTAGTAACTTCTAGAATCATAACTCCCCACAAATTTTCAATTGGGTTTAGATCAGATGACAGTGCTGGTCATTTCATAACAGTAACATTTTTCTCTTTAAACAAACTTTTTGTAGACTGAGGTGTAAATTGAAACATTGTCCAGTTTAAATATCTAGGTCAGGTCCTCCAATTAATTCAGCATTAAAAAACATTATTTTCTAAAGTTGTTAGAATGCAGAAAACTACAAGACATACATTAAAAACACTAAACCAACACTTCCATAAAATCCAAATGCTCATCATAACAAAGTGATCCACTGTGAAGTTGATAACAACAAAATGATTTTGGTTCCTTTTTAACATTGTGTCAATGATAATTGCAGTTAGTGGAGCCATCCAAATTCCCTTTTTTCCATCACTAAAAGTGACAAAGTCATTTGTGCTTCCATGACATACTCTTTTGCTCATTCTAATCTTGTTTGATAATGTTCAGATGTTAGATGAGGTTTGAGTAAGCTTACATTTTTCTTAATACAATATTTGGACTTGCTTTTAACCTTCTGTGAACTGTATCCTTGGATAATTTTCATCCAGATAGTGATGCTG